AAGTGGTATTGAATCCTTCATTCATAATATTCAGAAAGGCACTGTACTGAGAAGCAGTCCAGTATGATACTCTGTCTTTGATTCTGATACTCCCTTTTTTTTCAAAGATTAACATCTTGCATAAGGTTACAATCAATGGATCACATAGTTAGAGTTGTCAGCATTTTTGTTGTTATTCTTAGTGGTGCATATAATAATGGTGCATCACGGATTCTGTGAAGGGTTTTGAGGGCAGGCCAGGATTAGAGGCTTGATGCTGCCACCTATTTGTTGTATAGATTTAGGTAAGTTACCTTAAGTATCCTAGGCTCTGTTTCCTTCTGTGTAAAATGGGGATAAAACCCGTTGCCGCTGAGTCGATTCCGACTCATAGCAACCTTATAGGACAGAGTAGAACTGCCCCAGAGGATTTCCAAGGAGTGCCTGGTGGATTCGAACTGCCGACCTTTTGATTAGCAGCCGAACTCTTAGCCACTACGCCACCAGGGTTTCCAAAATGGGCATAGTAGTGAACTATAGGGTAATTGAGATTAAATGGAATAATAATGTGACGTGCGTAACAAAATATCTGTTTTGAGCGCCCTATATCGGACATGTTTCTGGTATTCATTTTCATGAGGTTCATTCTGTAAAACCACCTATTTGATTTTGTCTCAGAAATCTGTTCAGAATTAGAAACCTATGAGTTTCCTGAGAGCAAAAATCAGTAAGAGGCAAGTAAACATATGTATGTATAAATACGACAGAACGCATGACTATACCAGACTTTTGTCTAAAAAGGTAAAGTTACAAATAGTTAATCCATTATGACTGCTGCCGCCAGAACTCATAAAAACTGGAAGAGACTAAGTCGATGAATATGCTTTGAAGAGGGATAGAATCTCTTACTCTCTTACCCTGACAGTTCTACTTTGAAATGGGGAAAGTTAAGCTGTTGAATGGCTATCCCAGTCAAGATCATGTCCTTAGAATCTGTGTTTCTTACAAGTATGATTAACTAGTTTTAAATTTAATATTTGACCTTAATGTGCAAATTTAAATGCTGTTCAGTTATTTTTTGTTAATAAAATGTAGGTATAATTTTGATCTCTTCTATAAACACTTTATAGCATTTGGTGTTTATCTGTGAAGTGCTTATAAATATCTGCTAACATCCTTAGTGAGACACAAAGCCTTGAGTGTGCAAAACCAATGATAGAACAGCTAGAAAAAAGCTCACTCATGAAACTCAAGATACCTTATATCTCTCCTACTCTTAACCCCTGCTCCATATCTAATAAAATACTTAGATTAAGTACCCACTGTATACCAGGCAGTGTATACCAGGCAATGGAGCCCTGGTGGCCCAGTGATTAAGCACTCGGCTGTTAACCAAAAGGTCGGTGGTTCAAACCCACCAATTGCTCCGAGGGAGAAAGATGTGGCAGTCTGCTTCCATAAAGATTTTCAGCTTTGGAAACCCTATGGGGCAGTTCTCCTCTGCCCTATAGGGTTGCTATGAGTCGAAATCGACTCGACGGCAGTCGGTTGGGTTTGGTGGGTTATATACCAGGCAGGATAGTATATCCTCTGTGTACGTCTTCTCGTTTAATCCTCGAAACTCAGTGTGATAAGTTACAATTGTCCCCATTCTGAAGTTCATAAGTAAAGTTACTCCATGCTGGTGCTTAAATAAAGATGTCCTCAGACTTAAAAATACATGCCACCTCTCAGTAGGTGATCAATAAATGCTGCAATAAAAACGTATAGTGCAACTGCATGGTTATTCATTTGAGATCCTTATTTTGTAAAACATGCTGCTGACCTTATTAAGCATTTTGATTTTCAAAATGATTTCACTTTCGTTGCCTCTTTCAATTACTATGGTTGCATAACAAATTAAAATTTAGTGGTTTAAAACAGTTGGTTTTGTTTGTTTGTTTTGGTTTTTTCCTCACAGATTCTGTGGGTCAGTAATTCAGATAGGGCACAGCAGTGTTGGATGTCTGTTCTATGGTTTCTGAGGCCTCAGCTGAAAGACTTTAAGTCCGGTGTCTGAAATCATCTGAAAGCTCTTTACTCACATGTCTAGTAGTTGATGCTGGTTGTCATCTAGGAGGCCTCAGTTGCTCTCCACATGGGCCTCTTCATGTCGTCTCTGTAGTTTGGACTTCTTTATAGCAGGTGGCTAAGTTTCAAAGGTGAGTGTTCCCAGAGAGAGTGAGCACTAGCCAGACAGAGGCTGTTCTCTTTTTTATGACGTACTCTCAGAAATTGAATAGTATCACCTCACTGTCTCTTGGTCAGAATAGTCACAAGTGCCCGCCTAGATTCAAGCGGAAGGAACATAGACCCTACCTCTCAGTGGAGGATTGCCAGTCACATTGTAAGAAGAATGTGTGGGGTAGTGTGTATATATTGATGCAGCCATCTTTGGGAAATATAATTTAGCAGATTGTTATACTTCACTTTCAAATTACCTGTGAAATAGATCAGGCAGATAGATCACTTTACTAATGGAAAAATTACCAAAGTAAGTTCTTATAGCTAAACTAGAGAGATCTAGCACAAAAGCTAACCAATAAACTCAGGTCCTCCCACTAGGCTGCAACACTTGATCAAGTTTCTTTTTACTTTATCAGTTTTGAACATTATGTGCATTTCACTTTCCTGAAGGAAAAACTATATATAAGGTGTATCAAATTAGGGTATGAACTTACATAAGCCCAATGGGATGGTCAGCATGGGGGCAGGAGGGTATGTCAGCAATACTTAGTTTTTTACATTGGAAAATGCCACTAGCTTTTAATATACCTGGTCAGTTTAGAAGTTCTACAAACTATTGCCAGTCGACCAAATCCAGCCAGCTGCCTATTTTTGTAAAGAAGGTTTTGTTGGAACACAGATTGTCTATGGCTGCTTTTGTGCTACAGTAGGAGAGTTGAGTAGATTAGACAGGAAACCATATGGCCAGCAAAGCCTAAAATACTCTCTGACTCTTTACATGAAAAGTTCACAGACCCTTGGCAGTCAAACAGTCTGAAATTCCCCTACTTGAGGCTGTGGCTTTGTCTAATTCATTTGTTAAATATGTGAGAACTAGCACAAGTGCTGTAAATACAGAGAAACAATACATGCCCTCAAAAGAGCTTGCAGTATTGTTTGGGGAGTCAGTCAGTCCTAGATTTATATATGGTACAGAGTCATAAGTGATGCTATTTTGTAGCTATGTACAGAATTCTTTCTCAGAAGAAAAGTACTATGGCTAAAAATTAGGATCTGATTTTTTCAGAGACGGCTTTCTAGAAGATTGATACTTTTAAAAATAAGTAGGAATTAACTAGGCGGGAAAACATGGGAAACAGCCTTAGATCCAAGGAGAAGTATGAGCGAAGGTATGTTGGATTAAGAGTTTTATACTTTGAGATACTAGAGTAATTCATTATAGCTGGAAAGTAGAATGGGATTGGGGAAAGAATGAGAGAGAGGGCTGGCAGTGACTGTTTAAGACATTGAGGCAAGAAAAGGTTTGAGATCTCTTTAAGAGACAGAATTGTCAAAACTTGTTAATTGAATGGTTATGAGAATGATGAAGAAGAATGAGGAGTCTAGGATGACTGACTTGGACAACTAGGTGATAAGGGAAAATGGATCCATTTTATGGAGACACTGAATGCATGAGGAAGTATAGATTTAAATTGAGAAGGTAAGTTTCACTCTTGGGAGATTGTGACTTTTGCAGTGCATATACAACATCTAAATGAGACATCCAGTGAGCTGTTGGCTCTGAAAGTTTGACACTCAAGAGGAATTGGGAATTTTCAATAAATAGGTAATTCAAGGCTATGGATAGAGATGAGGTCATCCATAAAGTATGAAGAGTGAAGAGAGGACAGAAAACAGAACTCTAGGGGAACAACAGCATTTAAAAGATGTGTAGAAGACGGAAGAGAAGGAGGACAAGCTTTTGGAAGGAGCAGCTGAAGCAGCAAGAGATGTTGGAAGAAACCTAGTAGGGAATGGTATCACAGAAGCCAAGGGAGGAGATAGTTTCAAGAGAGGGTCATCAGTTTTGAATGTCTTTGCACTTGGTGATTTTGGCAAATTCAGTGGAGTGATAAGATCAGAAACCAGGTTATAGCTCAATTCAGAAATGACAATATAGGGAGCACATTTAGAACCAGAGGGCATGAACACACTGAAGGACTAATGAAATGAAGTCCCTGAAGAGATAGGAGAGGAGAGAATCCAGAGGAATTCACTGAGACATGACAGAAGAAGGCATAAAGGAAGAGAACTAATATTTTTTGAACGCTTATTTTACCATTCTGATTCAGTATTTTATACATTTTCTCATTTAATCTTTACAATTTGTTTTATGTAGAATGTATTGCTCCTTGCTTTACCAATGAAGAAATTAAGGCTTAGGGAAGTTGGCTTGTCTAGGGTCACACGTCTTGTAAGTGAAGAAGCTAGTGCCTGAACCCAAGTTTTGTTTCTGCTGTGCTGCTGCCTGCTCCCACTGCATCCCCTTCCTACTTTTCCCATGTTCGATGTGAATACAAATAAGTTTGTAGGGTATCGTAGAGACCTAGAAGTTAGTATTACCCTATAGAGCCTTATGAACAGATGCCAAGTTCTTAAAATGAAGTGGAATTACTTTTTTTCCCTCAGGAAATTCTTTAAAAAAAAAAAAAGTTTAATAAAATAAATGTATCGTGTAATAGAATACATGTTATAATGAAATGACATGTCTTCATTAATCTATATTTTAGCTAAACTGAGAAATGACAGGTTTTTTAAGGGAAAAAAGCTTGTGTGGGATGTGGGGGGTGGGTGGGAAGAACCAAACTCTTATGTAAGATTATAAAGTTTAAAATAATTAAGAATTTGTCTCCAAATGAAACATTTCAGTAACTCATGTTCAGTGTGTTAGATTTTGACAGCCCCAATTTCCCCTTTTTTGGAGCTTTATAATGCAAGTATAGAATTATGTTTTGTTTCTCATTCTTTATTCTCAGGTGTCTGCATTTGGAGCAGAATTTTCATCAGAGGCATGCAGGGAATTAGGCTTCTCCAGCAACTTGCTCTGCAGCTCTTGTGATCTTCTTGGACAGTTCAGCCTGCTTCAGCTGGATCCTGATTGCAGAGGATGCTGTCAGGAAGAAGCACAATTTGAGACAAAAAAGGTATTGTTTTCTAGTATATCTCTTCCATTGGATGGTTTAATTGAGATAAGGTAAAATATAATAAATTGCTTAATTACCTTAAATAGAAAGAGCTGTCTAGCTTTTAGTTTTTAGTTTTAGAAACTCAACTGCTTTCTTGCTTAGCCTATGAGATCAGTCAAAGCAAATAGAAAGAAAACAATATTGTTACGTATCAGGATCTCATTCCACCATAGTTGTCCAGCAAAGGGATCACAGAACCACTAACTATAGCACACTTGGATGCTAGCTCTCCAGTCTTCCTAACTTCTGGCTAGATGAAGCCCAAGAATAATTAAGTGCTTTTATTCGTTTGTAATAACCACACAGTCTTATGGTGAAATTCGAGATTAAAGTAAACCACCTAGTACCTGGCATGTGTGATCACTGTGAGTCGGAATCAGCCCAACAGCAACTAACAACAACAATACCTGGCACATGACTGGTAGACAATAAATTATAACTTTGGATCTGGTTTTTTAAAGAAGGATATAATCTGTTAATTTACATGCCGGTAGCTAATATTTCAAGACATTTCACCTTTAACTTTTGAAAATTGAGCCAAGGGTAGATAGTTGTAATTATCCAAGTAAAACCTGCTGTGTTTTGAACCCTCTGTTCAAACTGAAATTAATTGTGAACTTGTTCAATTTTTCAATCTTCTCATTAAAACTCTTACATTTCTTTAAATTATAAAATGGCTTGAAGAGATAATTTATATTAATCAGATAAAACTGACTTAGTAAGGTCCCTGTGTTTGGCATGAGAAAATTTTAGCATCTCTTTGTTCATTTTTTGATTTTCATATTCTTTTTCATTTGTGTATACTGGATTCTATTCCAGGTGTTATGGTTTGTAATATGGAGCCCTAGTGGCGTAGCGGTTAAGAGTTTGGCTGCTAACCAAAAAGTTGCAGTTCTAATCCACCAGGTGCTCCTTGGAAACCCTACAGGGCAGGTCTCCTCTATCCTATAGGGTCGCTATGAGTCGGAATCAACTCTAGGGCAACGGGTTTGGTTTTTGTTTTTTTATGGTTCGTAAAGCTTTCAAATAGTAACTGTATCTTATTGTTAGGTAAAGAAACCAAACCCATTACCATCGAGTCAGTTCCAACTCATAGCTACCCTATAGGTTTATTCTTAGCACTAAGTACAGTTTTATATTTCTAAAAGAAAACCAATCAGACAGGCTTTAAAAATGTTAATGTTTAATCACCAAAATATAGTACTTGATTTCTCAGTATTGTCAAGCAGATATTCCCAGGTCTTTAAAAAAGCTGTGCAAAGTCTTCCATATTTTTCACTTTTTTGGTTCATATGCCAGTAGTGTATTTTAATGTTTAGAAGATCTCTGTACACGCAAGTCAGTCTTTAGTGCGTGTAAATAAAATCTAGATGGCAAGTTTTAAAATTTTGATTTTAAATTGATTAAAACATAGGGCTTGACTAATTTAGTATAACCCTTCTTCCATGTTTTTTTTTTTATGAGATGTATTCACATGGGACAAATTGTTGAAGGAATCCGTATGAGTCATCCTCTCTTTATCTTTAAGCTATTATTCTATGAATTGTACTACTCTACAACCAACAATGACTATCATTTGGACACTAAACTTATATGAGGATTGAATAAAAATGGTGCTTTATAGTAAGCAATCTTTATCATTCTTCCACCTTGTGATTAAGAGTAATTTGAAAGGTTCTACCCTTTGGTTGGCGTTCTTGAATGGCACAAACGGTTAAGTACTAGGCTACTAACCAAAAGGTTGGCAGTTCGAGTCCACCCAGAAGCACTTCAGAAGAAAAGTCTGGCAGTTTACTTCTAAAAAATCAGCTGTTGAAACCCTGTGGAGCACAGTTCTACTCTGACACACATGGGGTCGCCATGAGTCAGGCCAACTCCATGACAGTTAATAATTCTCTTTGATATCAAATATGTCTAAACTGTAAACCAAGTACATATAAAAGCTGTTTTTACTTATTGCCTTTTCTCAGTAGCTCTTCATAATATCCCAGTTTTGTGATAGTTTTAGTGTAGCGAAACTTGAAACACACACTTCTAAAATTTTTTATATTCCATTCAGTTTTCATCATTAATTGAGCTATGTGCAGTATCTTAACACCTTTCAGCAGTTATAGCTCAGCAATAACAGTGAACAAGTAGTATGCCAGTTAATGTATACCCGACTAATTATAAGCTGGAATGATTATTGTATCTTAGTACAAGTGAGCTCTCCTAATACACCTTTTATGCTATATCCAGTGGTTTTTTTGTTTTATTTTTGTTTTGTCCTAGTCTCTGATCTCTAAGATATACGTACTTCTCATTAAGTATTTGCTAGCATCACTGTGAGTTGGGATTGACTCGGCAGCAACAGGTTTGGGTTTTTGGGGTTTTTTTTTAAAGCATATTGTTTTCATTGTCATCGAGTTGATTCCGATGCATAGTGACCCTATAGGACAGAGTAGAACTGCCCCATAGAGTTTCCAAGGCTGTAATATTTACACCATTACCACCCCAAGTTATATTAGCTATAATTCTGTACCCAAAGCACTTGAGGATACCTTGATTTGCATTGACTCCACTATAGTATATTGTAAGGACCCCTCATGGCACAGTAGTTAAGCATTCACCTGCTAACCAAAAGGTTAGTTATTCAAACCTACCAGCTCCTCTGCGGGAGAAAGATGTGACAGTCTGCTCCGATAAAGATTACAGCCTTGGAAACCTATGGAGCAGTTTTACTCTGACCCATAATGTTGCTATGGGTTAGAATTAACAGCAACAGGTTTGGTTCTCCCCTTCCCCCACCCCCACCCCCACCCCATATTGTAACTGTTTTGCTTTGTTTTCTCTCCCAAGAAATTGTGCTCTTAAAGTCTAGAACTGTTTTTTGTTTCTGAATCCCCAGCCTTCAGCATATGCTACATATTTAATAAATTTTTGTTCCTGAATAAGTTGTTATTATTAAGCACAAGTTGGAAAAGGTAGTAGTATTTAAAATTTTGTTGAAAATATACTTGAGTTTAGTGTATGCTTTTCATATATTTCACTTATGTATCTTGAATTTAAAGAATAAGAAAACTTGTCTCCATGTTGGCATTTATCCATGAATAATGCTCTTTGGGTGTAATTGTTCATCCAACTACAATAAAGATCTCTTGTTCCTATATTTTTGTTATAAGGATATTGTAAGCATCCCATATACAGCTTAAAAAAAAATAAGTTAATTATTTAGCATAATTTTTTAGTGATTCTAATCTGGTTACTAACATTAATAAATATTTTTTCAAAGTGTACATGACCATTGGATTAAAATACCAATTTTTTTCTATTAAGAATTTTTGAACATCTGTTCTCTAAAATTTGTTAGATTAAAGGTAGTATTACTACGGGGGTGTGGTATTTTCCTCATCTTTTTCTAATCTTTCCAGTTCTGTGATCTTGAACTTTCTTATGGCAGCTAGGTGCTTTTTCCTGTCTCTTTATTCGTTTAAAGTTTTCATATCTTAATAATATCAGCTTCTTCCAGACATTGTTACTGTAGAACTTTTGTGTTTACCTTTAATCATATGCCTGTATTTCTATAGCTTGTACGTGTTCTTTTTTAGATTTTGATTTACCAAGATCTTGTAGTCATACTGGTTTCTCTTCTTTCTTAGAAATACTTGTAATTTAATTGATTTTTAGTGCTTCCTGTCTTTTTGCATTTACATCTGTCTTATTTCTGAACTACTGTTTGAGGATTGAGCTAGTTATCAAGCCAGTACATCTTCTTAGGGATAAGAATCCACTTAGCTAAATTGCATATATATATGAATCAATAAGCAAATTCATTTCACCTTTAATTTGCTGTTCATTGAGTCTTGGCTGTATCAGGTGGAAGTTTAGAGTAGTGGTTAAGAGCACAGGCTCTAGAACCACAACTGTTGTTAGTCGCCATCAAGTTGATTCCAACTCATGGTGACCCCATGCATGCAGAGTAGAACTGCACCATAGGGTTTTAGGGTCTGTGATCTTTCAGAAGCCAATTACCAGGCCTGTCTTCCAAGGTACCTCTGAGTGGGTTCAAACTGCCAGTGTTTTGGCTAGTAGTCAAGTGCTTAACCGTTTGCACCACCCAGGGATGCCTCAGGGATTCCTGCCTAGATTCAAATCCTGTCTCTGCCACTAAGCTGGTGATCTTAGACAAATTATTTGATCATTCTCTGCCTTATCTATAAATTGGATAAAATAATAGTACCACTTTATAGGTAGTATTGGTTGTGAGTGTTGAGTTAATATATGTACACTGTTTAAAATGGTACCTGGCATGTCGTAAGTATTTAATGTTTGCTGCTGGTGGTAATGGCAGCAGTAGTAGTATCTGGTTTGCTGATGAGAAGCAGTAAGAAGAAGGAAAAAATGTGAAGAACTCAGAATAGCATGATAATAATTGCTATTGGGAAAGTTAAGATTAAAAGAAAATAGGTAAGAGATGCAACAAACTTATTAGATTTGCCAACAATAAAAATTTTAAATAAAAATTTTCTGTTACTCCACTTTCAAGCTCCTAGATCAGTTGATACAAGGGGAAGTATCTTATAACAGATTTATGAAAACTTTTACTGTTTGCAGCTATATGTCTACATGAAACAAAATATAGAAATGAATTATGATGGCAAATATAATTTCAGATTTCGATTTTTTGAGTGCTACTAATTGACACATTTTAATAAGCAAATACTACAAATTTGAACTTTAAAAATGTATGCTATTTGAGCATTATAAAATACATGAAAGATTGCATTTCGGGAAAAAAGTTTTTTGCTGCCAAAAACCGTTGGTAAAGTGGAGCTCAGTGTTATTGGAACAAACCTAGTCTAAAAATTGAAGGAGACCCATATTTTAAAGTGATTTTAGAATAAAATGTATTCTTGGTTTTCAGACTTTTTCAGATGACAGAGCAGGTGGAAGCAATAATATTCTTTGAAATCAGA